TTCCAGATCCAGTCAGCAACAAACCATAGATCCGAACAAATAATAGCATGTAAGGCATCTTTATAGCTATAACATAAAACATTTAGCACATAAAACATTTTAGGCATCTTTCCTAAATAAACTAGTGCTCACATCTCACAATCATCGCTTAGCATTCTAAGTTTAAGTCTAGAAATTTCCTACAAATTCCTAGTTCGCTTAAACTAATGCTCTAATACCAACTGTGACGTCCCCATTTTCACGGCCAGAAAATACCGATTTTGTTTATCTTTATAAAAATCAGAGTACTTCTTTTCATAAAAATGTTGCGAAATTTGTTCCCAGAAAAATACGATAAATACGTTATCAAAACATTTTCGAAGAAACGTATTTTATTCATTTTAAAACGTTTGGGATGTTATCGTCAATACAGGAACATAAGCATAAACGGACTTACATTTATTTACACTAGTGATCTACATCTCTTTAATCTCTCAGTGTAATGTCACTTCATATCGACACCTGTGATACAAATAAACTGAGTGGGTCAGGTTGGAAACCTGGTGAGTACATAGGGTTTTCAACCCACAATAATATAATTATTATGTTTAACAATCAAACAATCAACCTAATTACCCATCCCCATTATCTTCTTTACTCTTAAGGATCTACCCTAAGAATCATCTATTCCTCGTTCATTCATTCCTAAGGATTATCCTAAGGATCAACAGGAAATCCATCGTTGCTACGGTTTACACAACGGGCACTAAGTTTGCATAGTCGCCAGGGTTTAGGCATCAAGTCGGCATGATCACCAAGGTTTATGCACCAAGTCTGCATGGTTACCAAGGTTTAGGCATCAAGTCTGCATGATCACCAGGGTTTAGGCATCAAGTCTGCATGATCACCAGGGTTTAGAGTAAATCGGGTGAACATATCGTTCACAACACCTACAGGTTGCGAGCTTACTAGTGTTCCATTGGACTGTCTAGAATAGTCCATGACTGTCATCCATACTCTGTTGAATGACGTGGCCATCATTTGGGAAAAAGACTTCTCACGTCGTCCACCTCTCACCCTCACCTCGTGGTCTATAACACCTCTCAACTCAACATTCAACTCATATTCCATCTATTATATCTACCCATGTTCACCCCAACATTATCGTAGATATAATATACATATACAGTTTAAATCATTTAAAACATGTATAAAATCATTCATTTAGCATAGACAACAAGTACTCAGATAATATGCACACATAGCCCGTAATTTATATAAAATACTTCATATATATGTGTAAGATGAAAGTAACTATGCACTCACCTGAAAGGTGGTGACTCAGCACTCGGACAACGCTTCGATACTCTCAAAACACTTTCCTTCGATAAAACCTAGTACCAATACCACTAGGGTTTAGTCTAACGATAACTGCGACTAATTAATAGTCTAACTATTATTATTATTAAATAAGCGTTAAATAACACTCAATATAACTCATAATAATAGCCTAAATAATTATTTTAAGGACCTAATAACATTACTATATCGAAACATAAGCTATGCTAAAGATAGGGTAGGCGTAGCTCACTTACAACGGGTTTTCTTGAAAACCGGGCTTCGTTGGAGCAGCGTTTCCGAGATGAAAGACCCTTTTTCTTGGGACTCTGGGAGCCTCGGGGCTTCCTTCGGGTGCAAGGGGGTTTACCTAGGCTTTACGGGGGTTCGGGAGGCTAGAGAGAGAAACTAGAGAGAGAAAGAATGTTGGAGAGGTTTGAAGAGAAGTGAATGCCCGAAACCTCTATTTATAGGAGGCTTGACTGGTGGACTCGTTGATTCTGAGTCATGACTCGCCGAGTTGGTGCATGTGGCATCCTTCTGGTGGTGCCACGTGTCCTCCTCTGGTGGTGCCACCTCACCCCCTATCGCGTATCGGCCTTCAAACTTAGAAAAATCATAACTCTCGCATACGAGCTCCGTTTTCGACGTTATTTTTATACACGCGTAGGTAAAATCAAGATCTACAACTTTCATTTACACTCCGTCGGCTATTTCGCGACCGATCTTAAATTTAACAGTAGGAGGCGTTTAGACTATTAAATGACCGCGAAGAATTTGTAACTCCTTCATACGGGCTCCGTTTTCGTCTATCTTTTTACCGTTGAGTTCCTATTATTGAGATCTTTGACTCTTATTTAGGTCGCGTATGCCAAAAACCGCTCGAACTAAAATTCGAGTTTCGGGCCGTGCACTGCTAAGCCGAATCTTAGAAAAATCATAACTTCCTCATACGAAGTCAGATTTGGGCGTTCTTTTTATCGACGCTCTTAGTTTAACATATTCTACGACTTTCGTTTAGATTGATAAGGATAAATATCGCTCTATCGTAAATTCACTATTTGCGGTTCCCGGTGTCGTGCTGGTTTTGCCGTAAAACTTTGACAGGCCATAACTTCTTCGTTATAACTTGAATTTCGGCGTTCTTTATATGTACGAAAACCTTGTGACATATTCTACAACTTGGTTAAGAGTATTTAATCTAAATAATCTTTTATCAAAAAGTCGTTTTCGACCCCTATTGCCTCTAAATTGACTAGCCCAGATATGCGGGAGTTACAAAATTTACTTTTGTTTTGTCTTTATATTTCGAAAAATTAAAAACTCAAAAACATTTTCTTGTTTGGTTGTTGATTTTTTTTCTAATTATTATTACAGCTTAATGTGAAGATCATTGATGGGTCATGCTTGCAGTTCTAGGGTGAGGTATATTTTCGAAAAACTTTGCACTAGGTAGAAAGTCCCTAGAAGCATGCTGCAGCATGTTGACTCAAGCCTCCTTTGACTCAATGTATGATTTATAAGCCTTGATGAAGTTTTCATCATGGAAATTTCTACCTAATCAGGTTGTATTCATATTAGTCCATGAGCTACCATACTCTACTCAAATGAGTTGAGAGTAATCTGCTTGGTCCAACAAATAGCAGTGGTACATTCGAATTGCTTTAACCAATATTGTTCGTCCCAAGGTTCTTACACTTTCACACACAATGACATATGTCCAAGAGATCTCTGATACAACCAGTCGGGATTTAGACATATCAACATACTGTGTTAATGATTTAACATCATGAGACCGTGATGAAAGTGAAACCCTAAATATCGAACCCTTTAAGGAATTGATGGGGAACATTGTTCTAGATTTAACAAAACATTTGTTTTTGTACCCTTCTTCGAAACTCCAAATCATATTCAATCATTTTGAGTGGTCTTGATCAAATGTTCGAAACCCACAACATTTGTTTCCCAACAATATCCAACTAATATTTTGTTTTCTTGAGTATGATTTCACTGTGAGTATTATTTGTTTCTTAAAGTCACTTACAAAAGTTTTTCTATAGCCTACTTGTCACTAACTACACTGGTCAAACAAGTAACTTCTGTTACAATTACTCACATTTATGTTAAGTGCTGATGTGTAATGAAATATTAAACAACCCACGAAGCTTATTAAAAAGAGGCCCTTCGGTACTTCTTAACAAGTATTCGATTGTAATTCACGGGACACCACACAAGCTGCTAGTCATCTCTCTTGATTAATAACGAATCAATCTTTGCCCAAGATTTATCTGCTTTTATTTCGAAGATTTCATGTTTCGACAACACAGGTCCAAAGTTTTCTTTATTTGCTTCTAATCTTTTTCTTTGATACACTGCACTCACGAAATCCTTACGGTTTTGAGTATTACCAACTCAAGCTGATGATTTCAACAGTCTGGCATATGACTACACTTTTCCACCCAAAAGTGAAAGAGCCTTGCCTCTATTCTGAAGGTTTGTGACGGTTGTTATTCCATTGGGTCATGTTACGAGGCTGTCTGACTAGACATTTTGTATTATGTCTGGGTTTCAAGGAGAAGTGATGTTCACTTTATCACACATGGCTACTTAATCGGCGTATGGGTGCGGTTTTCAAGGTACCACATCAGCTTTCATTTAATGTTGATCCCGCTTCAATTGCAAATCCAAGGGTCACCTATAAAAGGGGTTTCAATGGTTCATTACAAGATTACGCTTTCTGAAAATTCCCAAATCACAAAAGAACTCTTTGATCATTCATTCATCTTCAAACCCTAATCATGACTAATCCCGCTACAGTTGATGCACCATCTTAAACCACAGAAGATGTTTCTTCCCAACCTATCATGAAACTTTATAACAACAATTATCAAGTCGAAAGTAATGTTATAGTTTACCCTGAAGAACTACAAATGTTGATCGTGGCGCTATAAGATTATGTTTTGAGAACGACGATGTTTAGTTCTTATGCAACTCCGATGTCTTGGTTATCACTAGCAGGTTCTACGGATATGTATAACAAAACCTTAAATCACATAACCTTCAATCTGATCAATGATAAGAAGTTCCGGTAAACTAAGAAGCTTTTCTGTCAAATATTGGATATACCTAAATCATCTCCTTTCTACAAAATCACCAATGAGCAAGTTCTACACATGTTCAACGAGATGGGTTATCAACCCACTCTTACAAAGACTAGTGAATTCAAGAAATCAAGCCTTCCATGTATTTGGAATTTTTTGTTTAGCATTTATCTTCGATGTCTTACTGGCCGAAATGTTGGATTGGATAAAGGGCGATTAGAAGTTTATGCCATGGTAACTAGTATCTATTACGATCTTTCTGTGGATTATGCTACACAGATATGGAGGGAGTTTCTCAAGAGTGTGGAAAACACCAATGTAGTGGATGGAATTTCATGTGCAAGATACTGGAGTTTAATTCTTCAATTTGCATACGAAAAGGAAGGAATACAAGTACCAGCTGATGAGGCCACAACAGAGTTTTTGAAGTACAATTTTCCGAAGGCTATTGAGGACAATGCTGAGGAATTTCCTAGTGTTGCTAGGATTCCTGATGGTATGCTTAAGAAGGTGGATTCTTCCAATTTAGTTTTACAGATTTACTTGAAAATAATAAATTCCTCAGTTGAAACTGGCATTCTTATGTCTGGATCTAAGAAGGGTCCTTCCAAAATTTCTAGACATTTGAAGAAGGTGGAGGAGAGTCCTACGAAACCTGTTCAGGAGAAGCAGAAAACAAAGTCTCCAAAGAAGAAACCAACAGACGAATTCATTATTTTGAAGCCTAAGGCAACCACTGGGGCAACGAAGACTGATGAACTTTCAAAGTAGGTGGTTCCTTCGAAAACCAAAGTGTTCAAGAGACTCAAGAATATTGATCACAGGTCACAAAGCTCTTCTGATAGATCTCCAAGTTTATCTCCATCCATGGTTCGAAAACCACATGTTACGAGGAAAAGTGTGGTGATTCGAGAAATTCTAGTTCCGCTTTCACCTTCGTTAAAGAAGCGTAAATTCGAAGATATAGCTAAACATATTTCGAAGAAACAAAAGAAGAAACTTCGTAAATTGGTGATAAATGACGACTCTATCGAAGACGAAGTTCTTCAGGATCCACCAGTGACAACATCTCAATTTGGCACTTCAAATGTCAAAATGATTGTTGTATCTTCCTCAGTTTCTCAACCAGAACCAATTACTATTTCTCTTCCATTGGAAACATCTTGGTCTCAAGGTACACCTATCATTGTTTCCTCTACTTTTGAAACTTCCACCATCGATACTACAACTACTTTACCTCCATTTGTAAACACTTCTCTTGACACACATTCACCAACATTCGATAATATTCTCAACCAACCAATTACTTCCTTATTTTCTTCCCAATCATCATTCATCTGATGATGATGAAAATGTTTTTGGTAGAACCTTTGGAGATATTCAATTTAATCCTATAGAGGAGGAGATTCCTGACAATATGATATTCACTGGCAAACACTTCAAAATCCTGTATCAAAAGCTTAATTCACTATTGCAAGTTCAAGTTGATGGAGGGGGAAACATTCAATATCTAGTCCAGAAGTTGATCTTTTGCTCAAAAAGAAAGCAAGCCGTCTTCATGAGGCCATTTCTGAAGTAGATCGAAATAATGAGAAGCGTGTGAAGAATCAATTGTCTACCTTTTCTTCTGATCTTCAAGATTTGAAATTTGTTGCAAAAGAACGTCACATTTTATTTGTTCAATATTTTAAGAAGGTAAGGGAGGATGTGAGTTTCAAGATTCAGGAACTTCAGGAGGATATGAGCAAAGAGATAGCAGTTGTGCAACAAGATTATGCTTCTCTTAATCAGAAGATGTAGTGAAAAAATTTGTCAAACTGTATGAAGTACTTCGCCCTAAGGTTGACCAAATGTCAAAAGATGAAGTTCAAAGCTTTTCAGAAATCAACCAACTGTTGACTGAATTCAAAGACCTCGTTTTGAAGCCAGGGTCCTCTCCGTTAATCACTCCAGAATTTTTGTCTCAAAAGTTCCTTCTCTTCGAATCTGTTCTTTAGAAATAGTTAACCCCATTATCTCAACTTGCCATTATTTTACCAACAAATGCCCTTCCTGTTATCACAGGGGTGCAAGGGGGATAAAGGAAATATGTTGGTGAAGGAGCTTCTGAAAAAACCATTGAAGAAGCGAAAGTAGTTGGTAAAGTCTTTACAACAAACATTCCCACAGCAAAGCCAATAATATCTAAAGCCGACCCTGTGATTTTGACTATTACAACTACAAGGAAAGTGTTAAAAGGCATAGTGATTGGGTTAAGTGGAGAAGGGAGTGCTTCGAAACCCAAAAGAAATCCCAATAATATAAGATAGAGGGAAAAAGGATGTTGTGGAAAAATCAAAAGAAGAAAGAAAGGCAAAGGTTGAGGCTGAGATGGAAAGGCAGAGGCAGATTCAAAGTATTTTGAGGCTTCAAAAAAATGATCCTCCTCATCTAAACAAGGGAGATCTCAGGAAGTTGTACAGCTACGAAAATAACGAAGCTAGGGTGGCATACAATGAAATGTATGAATTTGAGAAGAAACCCAGAAAGAGCTATGACATCGAAAACTCAAACATGAATCAACTTGACTTCCCAATCAATGAGATGATGTTCCTAACATCTCAGTATAAATTGTTGATCAATTCAATAATCCAAATGACTTTACTGACATGAAGCTGAGGTTTCATGCTGTCTTGGGGAAAGAATGGGAGGAAGTATTGTCTTGTGTGAAGAGTGCTCAAGTTTTGAGTATTAAAAAAGATGAGTTGTTCGAAAATATGTTACAAAACTTTCGATATCATGTTTTAAGAGCTAACAAGGTGGCATGTAATTTCACCATTGCTGATTTTCCACTAATAAACTTGAATGATCTTATTCAAGTTGCATCTATTCTTAAAGAGTCAAATACGTCAAAGCTTCAGGGAACCAGCAAAGAAGTGTTGAGATTATGATTGGGACATTTTAAACTCATCATAGATAATTATTACAATTATCTAGCTTTGACTGACCTAGAATTAGCTATGTATTTGGGGAAAGAAGTTTATGTCCTCAATCATTGGTGAAAAAGAAAGCTGAATTGATTGCATATGTTGATGGTGAAATATGCTTAAAGTCGTATGGGATTGTTTTTGTTGGGAAGGACAAGAATTGAAGACAGTCAAAGTTTTTGTTTCAAGGAAATGATGTAGAAAAGTACACAACAACTCAATATACGAACTTTATTGTTCGTATGAATAGTTGTAAGAAGAACTCTGAAGAAGACAAATCTGAAATGAGAAAGATCATGAATTGATATGCTGAAGTTCGGAAGACATTGCATAAAGCTGCTCAAGTGTTAATCAACTAACTTCGACACTTATTACAAAGAGGGAGATTGTTAGAGTCAAATTTTTTGTAATGTGTTGAACCATATCTTAGCAGTTTCGAATAATATGTTATCTATTTACTAAGGCAATTTATGTTTCGAAGTCTAGATGCTTAGTCCTTAGTATTTTTTGTATGATTTACTTTTCTCCTATAAATAGGAGTTGTTACTTAGAGATAAAGAAGAACTTGAATTCCATTTTGTCTATTTTTCTCTCTGTAACTATGAAGCATAATATCAGCTGAAACAAGATCTTATTTACTCCTTGTGTTTTTAATTCTCGTTACTCTGATTTCGTTTTCATTTCTCGATTCAATACTTCATCAGTTTTTAATATTGGTAAAGATGTCCATATTGAGCATATCTCTTAAATCAATAATGCATCAACATATGAAATGAGTTTGCAATTGAGTGAAATGTTTCACCAACTGGAAAATCAAGAGTGATTTGAAAATCATTAAAAAAATTCCTAATTGCATTCAAATCGAAGAAGAGAGTTTGTATGAAAACTCAAGAATCCCAATGTTTCCCTTGACAAGAGTCTTTCTATAGATCTTATGCTTCGATATTTCATTAGTTCTTATGATAATTTCAACTTGATTTATCATATGAATAGTATGGAGGAATACATTGATGATATTCTTAAACCTTCTCCAAACTAAAAAAATTGGAAATAAATTAGAATTCTTATCCAATTCCAAGTATTAAAAGGAGAATTGAACGCTATATAGTTCGATCTATGATGATTCATGCTTCGCTACTATTCATAAATTTTAGGAATATACAATTGAAATTGTAGAGCATATTTTGAACCTTATATCCAACTAACTAGGTTAGAAAATACGTCATGAAATGTGGCGTTTGAAAGTTCACTCACATTTAGATCTGGTGTTGTGAGGTCCTTCGTTGGACGAGAAACTAATGAAAAAAATTGAATCGAGATTTATGAAGTGTTACATTTGAAGGGTTTTGAGCATTATAACACTCCTATGGTGTACATAACCTTAGATACCTTGGATCTATGTTTTCTCTATTATACATGCAAACTTTCAGTTTTCCAAGGCATCATCCTAACTAGCATATTATGGAGTATATAATACAAAAAATTAGTTGAATGACATACCTTTTCTTGTAGCTTGAAACCTTAAGCTTTTAAGAGCCTAGCACCCCAAGTGTGATGCCTCAAATGCTTCACACAACACCACCAACAATGGAGAACTTTAGAGGAGGTTTCTTATATTGTGTGACACAACTAGGGTTACCCCATGCAAAACCTAATGTGCATGACTTTCCACATTACTCATGCTCAATGGGTATTAACCTCCATGGAGTATCCATGGGTCACCGCATGGGTTTAGTCGAACATAAAGAACTATGGACCATAAGCCCACTTTATAAGAATGAATGATTTACACAATCAATCCTCATATATTTAATTAGTCTTTTTTATCACAAAATTAATTCCAAATTAATTCTTGATCAATACTAATTAAATAATATGATTTCATATTAATATATTAGAATTTATAATATACTAACAAATCATAAATATCCTCTCCTCAAAAATCCATCCTATAAATTGTTCTGGTGCCATGCAACCCAATGGACCATGCTACTCTTGGTTCAAGTACATAACAATTATAGTTATGGGCTTAGACACTAAATCCAACAGTCTCCCACTTAGATAAGTCTAATAACTACAACTGCAAGTACGACTTAAAACAACCCCTAACAATCATAGCTCTTAAAGCCTCTGTCGGATTGAGATGCTCCATTTTAGATAAGTGATCATATAATCCTCTGTTCTCAAGATATCAGTTGGATAAATACATAGAACAACGTCATACTTATTGTCCAATAGTTTGTTTCTCGATCTCTGATTTGTTTGAAGTATAACTTAATCAAACACATCAATTTAGTTCTGACCGGGCCCAGGACATAAGTCAAAACAAAACCATCTAGAGGCCCAAGATATCGCTTTTAATCCTCCAAGGACTAAAAGGAACATAAAAACTTTGACTCATATGCATGTACTAACTATTCATCAAATTGTACACAACAACATATTTTATAGCCTCAAGTTACTGAAGTGGTTTCGTACTATCAATGCACAACCAACTCATAGTCAACAAATCATATCTCTTAGTTTGTAGACTTATATGATGTTATTGTTTCACGATCACTCGAGATAAATTCCATGAAGTGATACCACAACCTCTCAAAAGTATCTAGTAGTCCTTGGGATTCCTGCAAACCTATTCGGCTTAACCCTCTCTAGCTGCTTGGACACAAAAGGTGTGTTCGTTTCATCTTCTAGTGGAGACTTGACCCCGAATGAATCCCAAATGGATTCACTTGGTTCACAACACCCTAAGGTCTCCAGGGCTTCCCGCTTTCATTTCTTTCAGGAACAGGAGTTGCGCTCCATCCTTGATTCGGCCATCCAAACACACGATACACCATCCCAACCATAGGGTGCTTCTTCAGCCCTAGCCAGAACTGAGTCGAGGCCACACTTGACTACGATTCAAGGAGACCGAGGAAGCTCAGGAAATCCTACTCTGCTTACCTTACAGCCAGGTGGTTTAGGCACGGTGAGCACTAATGTGCAAGGATCCGTGAACCTAAGGGACACCCTGGTGCACAATCAAGGATTTGACGGTTATGATACTGATGATACTTGGACTCGGGGTCGTCCCACTACTGAGTCTGGTATTCGAAAATATGAGGATTTTTGTAGGGCATTCCAAGCCCGCAAGGATCAACAGACCAAGCAAAAATAACAGAAAGAGCAGGAGATCCAGACGACATCAAAATACTGGGCTGATGTCATTAACAATGCCAATGTCGTGGCCACCATCTCCAAAGTGCAAGATTGGATGCTCTCTATGGCCAAAACAATCCAAATGGATTAAGCTCTTCAACATGGTGCAGGTCCATCCCAGACCCCTTCAACACAAGTTCAAGACTCTCAAGAAGATGGAACTGCAATTAAAGTCAGTTCTACTCCTACATTTGGTTTTGATGACTTAGACGTGAACGAAGTCAATCAAC